GTGATAGCAGCATCGAAACACGGAACAAAAAAACAAAAAAAAAAAACAAAAAAAAAAAAAAACGCACGCACCTGCGTGCGTTGACCCTCTGCCGTTATGTAAACAGCAGTTGCATCATTCATGTGAGGTATCGCCGCAAAAGTAAAATCAAGGGCAGTAATTCTAGCACGAGACCGCCTCTGTAAAATCTAAAATGGTAGCTTGTAAAGGCTTTTAAAGCATTGCCTATGGATATTAAAAATGTATGCAGTTTGTCGCCACTGCACAAGGCATGGGCAGTTTTAAAGCATGTCATGTTTGGTATCTATTTACTTGGCATACCATCATCTTTTATATTTTACCGAATAATTGGCCAATATATTGCAAGCACTATGTGACAAATTGCAACACTCATCATTTTATTCACTAGGGTGTCAGCTTTAACAAAAAAAAAAATATATAATATATATATATAAATAAATGTTGGGGGTAATTTCCTAGCAAAAAAAACAGATTTTTTTCATGTTAACAAAGTGTCACAAAAGGCTTGGTCTCCAAGTGGTTAGAAGAGTGAATGATGTGTGGCATAAACCTCTAATGCTGGGCATAAAATCCCCCCCACCCCCCAAAACGACCCCTTTTGCAAACTATTTGCCAAGAAGCATGTTGAGTCAATAGAAGAATTTATTTTTTTCACAAGTTTTTGGAAAAAATTTTTTTTTTTTGTCAATGCAAAATTGTCATTTAAATGATTATTTGCTCACACATGCCATGGGTATATATGTGGAATTACTCCCCAAAATACATTCTGCTACTTCGAGTATGGGGGTACCACATGTGCGAGACGTTTTGGCAGTCTACCCAAGTACAGGACTCCAAAATCCAATAAGCACCTTCAGGCTTGTAAAGGGCTTTATTACACTTTCTGACTATCCATCACAGTTTCAGGAGGCCCTGAAGTGCCAGGATAGTACCAAACCCCACCGAATAAACCCTTTTTTGGAAATTAGACACCCCAAGGAATTCGATAAGAAGCATGGTGAGTATTTTGCAGATCTCGTTTGTTGCCACAAAAGTTTTTGGAAAATGAAAAAACCAAACATTTTTTCTTCTCATTTTTTTCTCACAAGGTTTTGACATCTAGAAAAAGAAATCTGCAAAATTCTCACCATGCCTCTTTAAATTCCTTGGGATGTCTACGTTTCAAAAAAAGGGTCATGGGGGAGGGGGGCGGGGGGGTTGGTGCTATCCTTGCATTTCAGGGCCTGATAGGTAGTGAGGAAGTGAAATAAGTTACGCACCTTCAGGCTTTCAAAGTGGTCATTGGATTTCAAGCTCCTGTATGTGGCTAGGCTCCCAGAAAGTCTCACATACTGTATGTGGTATCCCCATACTCGGTAGAAGTAGCAAAATGTATTTTGGGGTGTAATTCCACATACACCTATGGATTGTGTGATAAATATATCATTTAAATGACAACTTTGTGTAAAGAAAAAAAATAGTTTGTAATTTTCCAAAATCTCAGCAGATAGCTTAGGGTAGGGTGTCTAATTTCCGAAAAGGGGTCATTTGGGAGTGTTTGTACTGTCCTAGTTATTTAGCACCTCAAGAAATGCGATCGGCAGTCAGAAGGTGAAAGCTGTGTAAATTCCATTATCTATACCAGTTTGTAGATGTTATAACTTTCACACAAAGCAATCAATTGTTAAATCTAAATTATGATTCGGCACTTATATTAATGGCAAGCTTGCAAAATATTTGGTTTTTATGATTAGTCATAATTAATATTAATATGTGTAAGTGGTCTTTGACAAATGGTAGTATTTACTATTCTTCAATTGTAGCTGAGAAAAAGATATACAAGTTAAGCTGAAATAGTATATACCATTGAAAGTTGAGTAGACTATATTTAGAGATATTTAGGCATAGAAGTATTTGGTAGTTATGTCAAGGTTATTAGAAGTGACTTACTATTACATTACGTATTTTCTGTGTATATTTAGTATACGTTTCTAACATTGATACATTTACGTCATTAGCTTATAATATTGGTACATCAGCATACATATGTTCCTGTCCATCAAAACATCATATGAATAGCATCCTTTCCTTATATGAAATGGCTTTGCTAAGCAGTAATACTTTCCATAGAAGGTATTCAGATCACTAACTATGACGTACATTTGCCTCTTAAAAGTGCATGAGACAGACACTCGGGGGGGCACACAATCTCGCTCTCACACACAAGCAACATGACTCTTGCATACACACGTCTGAGAAGCTGCAACAGGTGCATACTGAGATCACTTCCAGCTACAATTTAGTCACATCCGGCTTCTCCTGCTTTACAAAGTCATTGAGAAGGACATCATGGCAAGGACAGGACAGCCATGACAGATAATGGTGACTTTTTCTTTGAACTTTCGCTTGTCAGTTTTTACAGTAGTTGTATCTACATGGCACTGTTCATAATACGCTTTACATTGTTTATTTGACACCATTGTGTGATAGAATAAAATCACACTTCATTTTTTCATTCATAATCGCCTCAAGACACTAGAAGAAGTATTATATGTGTCTAAAAATCCAACATCAATATACACTTATTAGGATTTTTTAACCAAAAACATTTAGCAGAATACATTTTGGTCTAAATTTATGATGAAATTTGAGGTTTTGGGATATTATTTCTGAGGGCTCTGCTGCTCTAGGAGTTCATAGGGAGGGGAGGGAGAGTCCCACGCAGCCCAGACTATTGTGAACATCGCTAGATCAGAGGGGACTCAGGTAAGGTTTTCTACACACAGGTTTTTTACCTTCATACATAGAATGCATGAAGGTAAAAATCTTGAGCCTTTAGAACCACTAACAGCTAATGGTTGAGGTATCCAATTACAGAAATTCCCTCCACTTTTGAGAGAGCCAAAACCTTGTTGAACATTCATGCTGTAGACTAAAAAAAAAAAAAAAAAAATAAAAAAAAGTTACAAACTGGGTATTACGTTTTCCCAGCGTTTAACTACAGAAAAATCGATGCCCAGGAGCAGATTGGCATCTCAAATGTCTATGGAAGCTAAAAAGTAAGCCGCATGAGGAGTTGTGACCAGAGTAAATGGATTCCATAGGAAATGCACAAAGGCCTTTGAGGGCCTTGAGGTCTAGATATGGAAGAACTGTGAAAAAGTTTTATAAAAAAAAAAAAAAAAAAAAAAACCCTGAACTGCACCTGAGGAAAAACAAAACTGCAGGATAGCAGACCCTTGACAGACTTGTAAAGGTCTGCACGATGTTAAAGTGGCTCTAAAGGCTGAAGCCTTTTTACCTTGTTACTTTCTATGCATGAAGGTAAAAAAAACCTTCAATGTGGAGCTCCCCCACAGCCTCCCCTATACTTAGCCGATCCTGATCTCGATCCAGCAATGTGCACAAGAGCAGCGGCTCTCCCGGGTTTCTCTCTCTTCATTGGTTGAGACACAGCTGCGGGAGCCATTGGCTCTTGCGGCTGCCAATCACAGCTAATAAGGAGGGAACAGGGGGTGGGATGGAGCAGAGCTGCACACTGTGTCTGATACAGAGGCCGCTCGGGAGCAAGCATGCACAAGTGCCCTCAGAGCAAACAACACTCAGAAAAGGGGGGGGGGGGAGAGAGGAGCATCTTCAGGGGACCCTAGAAGAGGATCAGGGCTGCTCTATGCAAAACCATTTTTGTTCTTAAAACAAACAAACCAAAAAAAAAAAGTGACCACCTCCCTGACTTTCACTCAGAGCTCTGGTGCTAACAAATTTTAGGACACCAGACATCCCTCCACTTTGGGAGCTAGGAAAGGCTATACCCCTTCAAGCAAAGAAGGATTTATTGGAGGTTTGGAGGTCTACAACCATCAGCTTCTTGAATCCAGAAAATACATTTGCGTGAGTAAGAGGACCTGGAGGGGGACCCTAGTGTTCACAGGAATGGAGTACACTTACTCTGGAGTATGCAGCTTTCAATAATGTAATTGTGTATATAATGTTTGGGGATGCTAATGAATCTTGAGGCTTAATTATTCTTAACATGCATGAAAATAAAATAAATATATATATATATATATATATATATATATATATATATATATATATATATATATATATATATATATATATATATATATATATATATAGTCTAGTTATAGTCATATCACGACTGGACTACTGCAACTCCCTCCTCACTGGCCTGCCTTGCCGCTGGCTATCCCCGCTTCAGTCGATCCTGAATATGCCATGCCAGACTCATTCACCTTTCCAACCGTTCCATCTCCACCACCCCCCTCTGCCAATCCCTCCACTGGCTTCCGATTGCGCAACGGATCAAATTCAAAATCCTAACACTGACGTACAAAGCCGTCCACCACACTGCCCTGAACTACATCACTGACCTAATCTACAAATACCACCCAGCACGCACACTCCGCTCCTCACAAGACCTCCTCTCTAGTTCCATGGTCTCCAGGACTCCTCCCATGGCCCTACCCATCTCACCTACTCCTCTCCTTTAGGCGCACCCTGAAAACCCATCTCTTCAGGGAAGCCTACCCCACCCCCTGCTAACTTGCCGACCTCCTCCACAGCTATCTCCTCCCTCCTAGATTGTAAGCTCGAAAGAGCAGGGCCCTCAATCCCCTCATGTTTTGCATTGTATTGTTATTGTTCTGTCACATGTTCTGTCCCCCTTTGTAATGTACAGCGCTGAGCGAACTATTGGCGCTTTATAAATACTGTATAATAATAATAATAATGTCTATGACAGGGGATTAATCCCCCTGTAGATGGCATTTTAACCCAAGGTACAAGACCTACAATGCTTGTACATACAATGTCATCTCATTCTCAAACAAAGATACCCGATTATTAAAAACGGTCTCTACTTTTCTAGAAAACTTTTTTCTATGTATACCAATACCATGATGGAAACACTCAGACTGTTGAAATGATCTTTACCCCCCCCAAAAGCAAAAAAAGGTATAAAGAACTTCAGCACTTACCTTTCTTCTTCTTCTGTCCTCCTCTGCATATCTTTCCGCGTTTTTCACCATATTTTCAATATCATCCTTGCTTAGCCCACCAGAAGACTGAATAACAACTGCAAAAACAATGTATGCAAAGAATTTAAGATATATCAACATATCGCCTCCTTACCACCTGTCAAACACATCACTTTTCAGAGGAGCAGCAGTGCCTGCTGCACTTGTGAATGAGCCCTTAGTTGCATTCGGCAGCAGCACCCTTAGGACTCATTCACATATACATTTGGGGAGTAGTAAAATCCTGCAGTTGAGCCACGACTTTACTGCCCCCCAAATTCCTACCCTGCTGAAACAGCAGCCAAAAAAGGTATACACATTCCGCAGCAGGAATGAAACCCCCTGTTGCTTTTGGTGGGTGCTACCACCTGCCAATCACGACCCATTTAAGTAAATAGGTCCACTCTGCAAGCGTCCCCCGCGACTGCATGTTACTGTGGGGTCCAAGGGGTAAGAGCAGGTGGTGAAAAAGCAACACCTTTTGCTGCCTGCTTTAACCTCTTGTTTTCTGTACTGCACAAGGTCTCAGGGCACTTTCAGAGCAGCCTCATTCACTTGAATGGGTCATGCCTGGCAGGTGCTACAGCCACCAAGCATGCTGCAGCTGCAACATGTGTACACCCCTGGCCACTGCAGCTAAAGGGAGTGCAGTTGGGGAAAAGGTGGTAAAAAGAAGCCTTAACTATGGGGCTTTACCATCCTCAAAACAGCAAATGTTAATGAACCCCTACTGTTCTGATCCCCCTATAAGGCTGATATGCACCGCAGATGCAGCGCAGTGCGACTGCTACCTTCCTTGGTTAGCTGTGCTTTGCCATAGATTTCTATTACATCCTGCATGTGTGGCGCACTTTCTCAAAGTGTTCCAAAACGCCTGCATTTCAGAAAATGCACCAAACCTCCCAGATATCAGCACAGCAAACCTGCAAGTACACTGTACCAAACCCATGGTGTGGGTAAACTGCAGCACATCAGTGTGCTGCCCTATACTCTATTATGTCCAGTGTATTGCTTTACACTGACCTGAAGATCTTCTCTCCTGCTGCTGGCACCACTCTGGAGACTACTAGCCGGGATAAGAGGAGAGGAGGAGGAGGAGGAGGAGTGCAGTAGGTATCACTCCGCATGGGACAGGAGCCAGAGGAGGCATCTTGCTCCTGACTACAGCTCCAACTTTACAGTCCCTCTGCATTGCACTTTGTTTGATGCTCTGGGATGGCGGGTCAGCAAGCCCAGACTGCAAAATACTATTTACCTGGCCATGATCTACTGGTTGCTGACCCCCACTGCACCTGCCCACTGCCCAGATTCCCTATTGGGAAAAACAGGCCGTTTGTACAGAAGCAGAACAGTAGACCAACTTCTGTACAACCAGCCTGTCCATACATGGATTGCAATTCAGCTGATCCTTACTGAACCAGGTGAATTTCAATCTATTTTTGGTCAGCTTAAATCTCCTTGATGGGTGGGTGACAGACAAAAAGGAGGAAGCATACTGAGGTGGGAAACAGTGCGCAACCTTAGGCAGAAGGAAGGCACAATGATGCCTATGATGGGTAAGGAAAGACAACCTGCAAGGCCAGGCTGTCAACACAAACTATCCAGTCTGAAACAATAGCAACAAGAAATGCCACCTTCAGAGGAAAAAACTCTCTGCAGGTCAGTCCAGAGCCATGAGAGTGGAAGTCATAGCAGAAACTTCACTAGTGGAAGCACATACAAGGGAATATTGTGTACATGCAGTGGGTCTTATAGCGCTGGCTGCCTTTTTTACAGTATTAGACCCAAGACCTGGGTCAGGGTCAGGATCAGGGTGGCCTTTTGGAACTTCACCAGCTACCCGAAGACCACAGTAATAATGAGAATAGCAGGTTCTAAGTTGATTCTGCAATGGCGATGAGATGGTCAATCAAGACAACTACAGGCATATGAATATAGGTCTTTCAGCTGTCCACTGAAGACAAAAATTCCCTTTTGGAAAGTCACTCATAAATGAAAACTTTCTGAATCTTCAGATATGGACAAACCGAATGAGTGCCTTGAGGTCCAGAATGGGACGAACATACGTCTCACTTTGGTCCTCAATATCACCTTATCCTTGTGCAAGACCAGAAAGGGTTCTTCACATGATACTGCTGCAGGCTCAGATGCTCACATTGCAGAGATGATGGCTACAAAATAACACTACCTTATGGGTAAGAGTGGATTAAAATATCTGATGTGTTCAAACTGCAGTTTTTAAAGCACTAAGAACCAGATTCAGATCCCAAAGTGTCAAAAATGACAAACTGGGAGTCAGACACCCCAAACAAAGATCTTAAGGAAAAGAAAGTCCATGATCTGTGAACCAAGATAGCAAGAACAGAGACCACTCCCTTAACAGTTCTGGCCTAGGTCCAGCCATAGGAAGGAGAGTATCTGCCTGCAGTGAAAAACATTGCTTCCCACAGTGCCTGTTCACATATGTCCAGTGCACTGGCAGTGCAGATTCAGTGCGGTTTGAAAATGTCATGCACAATTTCTGAGCAATGCCTTCAAGTTCAGGTGTGGATTACAGGCTTCTGAATTCTATGGTAACAGTTTCTGAACCGCATGTGTGTAAACAGGATAAAATCCTGACCTAATCCTTTCCCGAACCTGTTCACTGGTTCATGTCAGGTTTACAACTACGGTGTCATTTAGCTGTGAAACCTGAGCTTCAATCCGGACCACACGTGTGGATCAGCTCTTAAAGTCTTGATCCATTGATGAATGGAAGAAAAGCCCCATCTCCACAGGACACCAAAATGGTATTATTCTGTATATGCGGGAGTATAGCCTGTAAATGAACCGTGCTTTGCCTAGTACTCAATCTCCTAGAAGTGGCAGCTGTACCCATCGGTTCCAGAATTAAACTGCTTCCCTCATCCAATAAATGCTGTAAAAAGACCATGTTTTACCTATTCCTTCTCCAAATTGTATACAGGTAAGCGGACACTGTGGTGAACTCATTCTTTAGTACGTATAGTCCTAAAGTACCCACAAAGAACAATACTTGTAGCTGCTGATTATCAAAAGCTGTCCATTAAAAAGAAATAACATTTCTAACCACTTGTCCTCCAGAGGATTTTCCTCCCTTCCTGAGCAGGCCATTTTTTGTGATATGGCATTGCGTTATTTAACTGACAATTGCGCGGTCATGCAATGCTGTACATAAATGAAATATTTGTGTCCCCCGCCACAAATAGATTTCTTTCAGTGGTATTTGATCATATCTGCATTTTTGTTTTTGCGCTATAAACAAAAAAAAAAACACAATTTGGAGGAAAAATTTAAAAAAAGCCTTAATATTTTTGACTTTCCTATAAAACATATCCAGTAAAAGGTTTTCAAAATAATTTAAATTCCTTCATAAATTTAGCCCAAAATGTATTCTGCTACGTCTTTGCTAAAAAAAAAAATAAATAAAAAAATCACAACACATGTAAATTAATTGGTTTACGTGAAAGTTATAACGTCTACAATTGGCAGTATATATACACACACACACAGACAATTTTTTTTTTTTTTTTTTTTTTTTTACTACTAGTAATGGTGGCGATCAGCGACTTAAAGCAAGACTGCGGCGGGCATTCTGACACTGGGTGGGAACCAACTGCCACTGACATTCCAATGACAGCAATACTAATAAAAAGCACCAACACTGTACCAATGACACTGGGCAGGAAGGGGTTAACATCTGGATCGATTAAGGGGTTAACTGTGTGCCGTTTTACATAATGTGCTGTGTGTGTTGTTTTACTCAGAAAACATGCTGCTGCCGATTTCTCTGCTGTGAAGAGAAATACACAGTAGCATGTTCTTGCCGGCAGGAGAGATTTGCCAGCATGTGTTTACATACAGGTCTCTCCCCTGTCAGTTTTATTCAGCAATTGTCGGCGGGAATCTCCGGCCGGGACCCAGGGATTGACATCCGCCAATGGCGGCGCACGAGGCCCGTAGCCGGAAATGCAAATAGTTTATACACACACGTGATTTTGCGCAGCCCTGACGCCCTGTAGCAGTAGTTCTACCATAGGGCGACAAGCAAGCAGTTAAAATGATGCAACTCAGAGAAAAAGGGGAAAATAGTTGATAAGCACAAGGAAAACATTTATCAATAAAAATCTCATCTAGAATAAACTTACTCTGCTGTTCACGTCCAGTTCCTTTATCTTTTGCCGAAACATGAACAATTCCATTGGCATCAATGTCAAAGGTGACTTCTATCTGAGGTACTCCACGAGGCGCAGGTGGAATTCCAACCTTAAAACAAAATGTAAAGACTATAGACAGAGCATAGTTGATACATTCAGCAGTTAAACTATTTCTTTCCACAAACACATGTATAGACAGACATCCAGAACAAGGATAAAGTAACTAACTCTAGTCCTCTAATTTTCACCTGGATAAAACTAGCATTTAACCCTTGAGGTACAAGGCCTCACTGCAAGGGAAGATTTTGTCTAATTAATGGGGTTGGGCCTTAAAACTTCATTGGTGGCATCAGCATCATGCCCTCTATTCCCTTACACCAATGGTATTTAGAGCAATTACACATTTTCTGGATACATTTTAGGTTGGTATAGGATTGTAGGCGCCATCTTTTTGTAAAGATGTAAACAAAAAAAAAAAACAAAAACACAGGATTTGCTTAATTACATCATGTTACAGTTGAATTTAGAGTATCATCCCAAATCCATCTACTGGATGTTCTTAAGAGTGAAGGGCAACCCTTTATTGGTAAGAGGGCTTCGGGGGAAGACTTGATGAGCTTTGTGGGTCAAGTCTTACATCAAAAGGGCTGAACATAGGTTTAGAAGTTAAAGACTGGTCAGTGTTGAGGTTTTGAGACAGAGAATTCTGCACGTGAATAGAAAATCAGAGCCATCTGGAGATTTGTATTAACTTGTTCTAGGGTATCCACACCAAAAAGCAGAAAGGAATTTCTGTAGTTGCTAAACCAAGGACAGTCCTGGAACACAAGGTCTGGTTAGCTGTAGTTTGGCATACATAAATCTCAGCAATAGCTAGTTGCAGAGTAGAGGAGCCTTTAAAACGTTTCTCAAACTTTAAATAAGCAGAATCTTTGACTAAAAGGAACATATTCTATTGGTACACTACAAGGTATAAGTCTGACATGGCAGGGACAACTGCCGAACAGACAGCTTATGTGAACGTCTTCCAGTGGATAGCACTTGCCATAAATTCCTGGAAAATGTGTGAAAATCTTTTCCGATTTACACAGATTGCCCATTTTTTTGTTCATGAACAAGATTCAGAAGGTCTCCTTGTAGCCAAGGGGGCATGGTGAGATAGAAGAGAGTAATGTGCAACAATGGCGAGGCTACAGCGCACAGCAGAAATGAGCATTCCAATGTTGGCAGGCATTCTGCGTGAAGCTGTAATGTCAGCTTTGGGGTACTCGAGTAGGGTGCGGAAATGGGGGAAGCGTGTTGGCGTACGCAGCAACCCTGATGACGACCTTTCTGTAGCGGGGTCCTTGTGGGCAGCAAAAAGCTGAGAGGAAGCACGAGGTGGAAGTGGTGGCAAAGTATGCGACCCGTGTAACATCCGGTCATCCACCTGAGAAAGCTCTAAATGGTTGAAAAGTGAATTAGTTTCAAACAAATTTCCTGGATTCCAGACACGAACACATACTTTTCAGGACTGTGAAGCTACAGTAACTGTTCAATAAACAAGGTGAATCTTATCTAACCTGTATTTCTCCAGTCCAGGATTTATCCATCTAATTCAATCAAATATATCAATAGCCCCCAAAGGAGTCTTTAGGTTCTGGGTTTCATAAGGATGTACATCAGCCCCGGACCGGTATAGCACCTTGCGACTAACTATATATGTGGCACCTAGCAACAAGGTGATCACCCATGCACGATCCAGAGCCTGAAGCAACATTATAGACCTCTTTCATAGTGTGGGGTCCAGTTACAGCTTTAGGTTTTACCAAAGTTGCACCAATCTGGATTTCAGATTAAATTTTTATGTTAGAAGACAGTGAAGACTTGGCTTAACTGGTTTATAGTTTTAACTTGAGATTCTTAAGTCAAGTGATTTCTCAGTAATTGAAAAGAGGTGCATTGCCTTAGGACACTAGTAAAAAACTGAGAGTGGGGTAGGAGTACAGACAAAAACTTCACCTCAGCATAAAATAATAGCTGTACATCTTTCTGCAAAAAAATAAATGTGCATTATTTTTTCCTAGAGAAGCCTGAAAAACATTGCATCCGCATTCAGTGGATCACAAGTGCAATTCCATGCTCCTGCAGACACTACAGCGTTCTTGCGCTCATCGGTACCCTCACAGGTCGAGAACTAGAAGCCATGTGTCACATACAGTTACTGAAGTATAACTAATTAAGTATATGTATAATCACCTTCCCCCAAACCCCTCAAAAAGTCACACTTTCTCCCCAGAAAGTAACACAGTATTATAACCTTTTTGAAATTACATAAACCCACTCATAAAATAAATATTAAAATTCAAAAAATTCGAAAAAATTCAAAAAAACAAAAATCAAAAAAAGTCCAATATAAAGTGTCCCAAAAAAAATGTCCTAATATAAACAAAAAATACAAAATGAAAAAATAGTGTCCAACAGATTAGTGTCCAACAAATTATCCCAATGTTCAAAACTTTATTCTCCAATAGGAAGAAATTCCATTTCATCCCGTGGTACCCTCTGTATCCATATACCAGCATCCAATGAGATCTTCTAATTCGCTTCAAAGAAATTATTCCAAGGTCCTCAAAAGACAGGAAGGGTCTCAAGGCTCATATTCAAGGGTATGGTAAAGAAATTTTAATAGCCACTTACATTAAAAATTCATTAATCCAGCTTCCAACATGTTTCTCCTATGAGTTCCATCAAACAAATGCAATCTGCCATGTGTTGATAACCCACAAAATGGCCACGGCGACACTTCCGGTCTGCGTGCGTGCGTCACGACGTCGGGTGTGACGTCGTGACGCACGCACGCAGACCGGAAGTGTCGCCGCGGCCATTTTGTGGGGTTATCAACACATGGCAGATTGCATTTGTTTGATGGAACTCATAGGAGAAACATGTTGGAAGCTGGATTAATGAATTTTTAATGTAAGTGGCTATTAAAATTTCTTTACCATACCTTGAATATGAGCCTTGAGACCCTTCCTGTCTTTTGAGGACCTTGGAATAATTTCTTTGAAGCGAATTAGAAGATCTCATTGGATGCTGGTATATGGATACAGAGGGTACCACGGGATGAAATGGAATTTCTTCCTATTGGAGAATAAAGTTTGAACATTGGGATAATTTGTTGGACACTAATCTGTTGGACACTATTTTTATTTTGTATTTTTGTTTATATTAGGACATTTTTTTGGGACACTTTATATTGGACTTTTTTTGATTTTTGTTTTTTTGAATTTTTTCGAATTTTTTGAATTTTAATATTTATTTTATGAGTGGGTTTATGTAATTTCAAAAAGGTTATAATACTGAAGTATAACTGTTCCCCACACTTTAGGCTGGTTTTAATCTTGTATCATCTGTATGATAAAACAAGCAATCAAAACATGAAATTTGATTTCTGTAGTTGCGCTAAATAAAACAAACATTCTCACCAATGTAAACTGGCCAAGGACTTTGTTGTCGCTGGCCATTTCTCGCTCTCCTTGGCATACTTTAATTTCCACTTGTGTCTGTCCATCAGCAGCAGTAGAGAACACCTTCAAAAAAGGACAGACTACAGTTAATTGACATAGAGAACTAATGCAAATAGAACATACTACATGTTAAATAACATAAGCATTCTTTTAGAAAATAAAGCAATGTAGTAATTTAGAAGTAATTAAAAATTAGAATGTTTGGCAAAAGTCTTTTTTGGTGTACATCACAGCACAGAAGACTTGATATTGACAGCTTGGGTTTTTCTGTATTGTTGCTGTATTGTCCCCGTTATATTGTAAAGTGCTGAGCAAACTGTTGGCGCTACATAAATCCTGTATAATAATAATTCTGCCACCTCAGGTGAATGGACACTGGCCAAAGAAAAGAAAAACGAATGAGGAATCCCCAAGCAACCCCTTCCAGCTCAGCTAAGCTTTGGGTTACGTAGCAAGCAATAATGACCACACGCAGGAGGGATCTCTGTGTCCTAAGATTTACTCCAAGTAAAGTATTTTACAGGTAATAAAAGCAAAAAATAAATATTTAGACATACCTGAAAATTCCATATCTTGGGAATACAGTAGAGGACACAGGCAAAGTATTCACAGACCCTGCACTATAGGCTCATACCTTCAGGTGTTCAAACACTGCAAAGCTTTCGAGGAAACACCCAGCGCATGTCTGCCCTGTACCCTTCTGTTTTGTAGCAAGCAATACAGAATAACCATGTAATGGAAGAGAGAGATTGTCCTGTACTCCAAGACATGGAATTGCTGTGACGAAGGGGATGAATGGGAACATGCAGATTGGCATCCATAGACGTCCAAGATGTCTTTTATTCCCCTTATCTCAGAGAGGCAGTTGCCAACCTCGTAGATGCCATACAAAATTTTGGAATATAAAAGGCATTTATTGAGGAATTTTAAGTCCAGAATATGACTAATAACCCATTGGGCTTTGGTACTGTGAAAAGGTTTGACTAAAATCCTTTGAACCTTAAAGCAATAAAAGATTGCTCTGCATTTTGAAGTGGAATCCACCGAGGAAGGGGGACTTTGGGATATTTAACTGTGTAAGTAAAACCTTCCCTCTTGTGACTGTCTTTATCAACTGGTTAGGTGCCTCTCCAAACAGAGGTCTTCCCTCCTTCTAGGGCATCCACATACAAGAAAAAAAAAAAAAAAAAAAACCAAAGCTGAGGGTAATTGTTCAGTTACAGCCTGAACAACAGGGTTATGTTGGGTGTTCACTTCCCTAGTCTAGTCAGCTGCAGTTTGACATCCTAATTGCATTGAGAGCTGGTTGCAGATCTGGACCTGCAAGAGTTGACAGCCTTTAACAGCATCTCAAACTTTCTATCTGCAGAATCCTCCAAAGGAGAAACATCTTCAATAGGTACAAAAAGACGTCAGCATCAACACAATAGACCACTTTGTGAGCTTTTTCCACTGGACACAACTCAGCAAATCTCTTCTTAGGAGGGGAGAGTAATAATCCCTTTCTGGATTGATCCAATAATCACAGTTACATAGTTAGTATGTCTGTGAAAAGACAAAAAAAGTCTATCCAGTTCAACCAGTAAAAAAAAAGAAAAAAAAAAAAAAAAAATGTTCTAATCCTATACCCACAGTTGATCCAGAGGAAAGCAATAAAACCCCCAGCAAAGCATGACTCAATTTGCTCCTGCAGGGGGAAAACAAATCCTTCCATATCCCCAGAGAGGCAACTGGATATTCCCTGGATCAACTTTACCAATACAATGTTAGTATCCAGTTATATTCTGTGTATCTAGGAAAAAATTCCAGGCCTTTTTTAAAAGCAATCCACTGAGCTGGCCCGAACCAACTCTTGAGGGAGTCTATTCCACATTATCACAGCTCTCACTGAAGAAACCTTTCCGTGTTTGGAGATTACATTTCTTTTCCTAAAGATGTAAAGAGTGCCCCTTGTCCTCTGTGATGACCTCAGGGTGAATAGCTCTACACCAAGTTCACTATATGAACCACTGATGTATTTATACATGCTGATCATATCCCCCCTTAATCTCCTCTTATCAAGAGAAAATACATTCAGTTCCTTTAATCTTTCCTCATAGCGGAGCTCCTCTATGCCTCTTATCAGTTTGGTTGCCCTTCTCTGTACTTCTCCAGTTCCCCAATGTTCTTTTGTGAATTGGTGCCCAAAACCGAACTGCATATTCCAGATGAGGTATTACTAATGATTTGTACAGGGGTAAAATCATATATCTCTCTCTGGAGTCTATACCTCTTAATACAAAAGGATTTTGTATTGACACACACACACACACACACACACACACACACACACACACACACACACACTTCTAAGCACATTCTGCTCATTAGCAGGGAAGGTCTTTCAAGATTTTGGAGATATCTGTATCTAAAAGGGGTACGGCAAAACAGGAGAATAAAGCTGCACAATGTTAAGGCTTTTTGGACAGCAGCAAGGAGGTTTTATCATGCTAATAAAAAAGTTGTTTAACTATCACTTTTCAATAGGGGCAACCTGGGGTAGAAATACACCATATTGCCTAAAGTATTGGGACAGGCACCCTCCAAATCATTGGATTCAGGTGTTACAATCACCTCCATGGCCACAGGTGTATAAAATAAAGCACCTAAGCATGCAGACTGCTTCTACAAACATATGTGAAAGGAAGGGTCGCTCTCAAGAGCTCAGTGAATTCAAGCATGGTACAGCGATAGGTTGCCACCTGTGCAATACGTCCATCCATGAAATGGCCTACGTTCAACTGTTTGTGGTATTATAACAAACTGGAAGCAACTGGGAACAACAGCAATCAGCCAGGAAGTGGTAGGCCACATAAAAAGACAGAGTGGGGTCAGCACATGCTGAAGCATACAGTGCACAGAAGTGCAGAGCCAATAGCTAAACACCTTCAAACTTAGTGTGGCCTTCAGATTAGCACAACAGTGCATAGAGAGCTTCATGGAATGGATTTCCGTAGTCAGAGCAGCTGCATCCTAGCTGTACATGAACAAGTGCAATGCAAAGTGTAGGAATCAGTGGTGTAAAGCATGCCTCCACTGGACTCTAGAGGAGACATGTTCTTTGGAGTGACAAATCTCTCTTCTCTGTCAATCTGGCAGTTGCCAGAAAAATCGTACTTGTCCGACTGCATTGTGCAAGTTTTAAGTTTGGTGTGGGGTTGTTTTTCAAGAACTGGGCTTGGCCCCTTAGTTCCAGTGAACAGAACTCTTAAGGCAAGACATTTTGGACAATTTCATGCTCCCAACATTGTGGGAACAGTTTGGGGAGGGCCCCTTCCTGTTCCAACACGACTGTTGAACTTTGCACAAAGCAAGGTCCATAAAAGACTTGAATGAGCAAGTTTGAGCTGGAGGAGCCTGACTGGCCTGCAGAGTCCTGACCTCAACCTGATAGAACACCTTTGGGATGAATTAGAGTGGAGACTGAGCCAGGCCTTTGACTGACATCAATGAATGACCTCACAAATGTACTTCTGGAAGAATGGTCAAACATTCCCATAGACACACTCCTAAACCTTGTCGACAGCCTTCCTAGAAGAGTTGAAGCTGATATAGCTGCAAAGGGTGGGCCAACTACATATAGAACCCTATGGACTAAGACTGGGATGCCAATTAAAGTTCATGTGTGTGTAAAGGCAGGCGTCCCAATACTTTTGGCAATATAGTGCATCTTCCTCATATACTGACACAATGTACTCTTCCTTCCCTTCAGTGTGTCTCTAGGGGAGGCATATCAGAATCAGACTCAGGTAGATAAAAACAGGAACAGGAGAAAAAGTGTGGCGTTTTTGAGCCCTGGGGCAGTCATTAAAAACACAAAATGTAAAAACTGTCTTTACATGCTATATCGCAATGTGTGCATACTGACTTAAGCATTTGTCCCTTAGTTTAATGTAGATGGGAAAAAATAAAAAACTGCCATTTGCTGGTGATCCCCTCCTTGCCAGTGTCCTCGCTGCAGCTTATGATCATATGAATTGCTTGCAGTGCGCATACTCTGGTTTCAGTTCCCACTCAAGTATTATATAGGATATAAAACACATGCTTTCAAATAAGGATTACTATGAAGCTTTAAAACACTGTATTGCTATTTTTGACTTTCTAGTACATTTTTTCCCCCCCACACTTCGTGTGACTGGCAACACACCATCAATTAGCATTGTGCGGACAGAGAGTGTAGACATCCCTCTGCCGAAGTTTGGAGGATACATATCAGCAGGTTACGGACAGCTCCTTCCACAGATTTTTCCCTGCAGGTGGGAAAAAGTAGGGAAAGATAACATGACCGCTAGACACAGCAGAAAAAAAAAAAAAAAAAAAAAAAAAAAAAAGGAGATTTAGCTTTTAACAATTGATCCTTCCATTTTCAGCCTGAAGTAGACCAACAACATGCATTAAGACATTGGCAAGTAGTGATAGTCAAATCTTTTGTTTAAGGTTATTCAATACATAGGCTTTCTAAAGATTGCAGAAGGGATAGCTTTCTTTGATCCTCCCACCTCACCACTACACTGTCCTTCTGGACTATAACTATTCGCTTAATCCACATCACATTATATTTTTACCTGGCTCTTCTTTGTTGGGATAGTTGTGTTTCTGCTTATTAGCTTTGTGAAGACTCCACCAAGTGTTTCAATTCCAAGAGAAAGAGGTGTGACATCCAACAGCAGAACATCTGTCACATCACCAGCTAATACACCACCTTGAATAGCAGCACCAATAGCCACAGCTTCATCAGGATTCACAGCTTTGCTCGGAGCACGGCCAAACAAGTCTTGCACTGTTTGTTGGACCTAAATCAAACCACATGAAAATTGTAATCTCCCATTTTACCTTTCATAAAAACTAAAGTTGGCCATTGATGGAGTAGAATTTCAAACGAACGAAGACTCCTTTTCTAACATTACTGGGTCAAAATTACTTTTTTTTACTATAGTGACAAGAAGATTCTAACAAGCAGGATGGAAAATTCTCAAATGAACTTTTTTCTAACAGCAGAAGTTGTTTTGGTTTGCTTATAACATCTGAAAGAGTTTGATAAAATCCATTAATTCCAAAATCAAACGACACTCAAATGTTTGGAGAATTTTCGTACAAAAAGTTTTTCTAAGACTTTTCCCACAAAAATGTTCAAAATTCTATCCATCTATGGCCAGCTTAATAATCAAACAAAAAGGATCACATAGCTATTAAAAAAACAAACAAAAAAAAACTATATAATACATTTATAGCTTACCTTTGGCATTCTGGTCATTCCACCAACTAGAAGAACTTCACCAATGTCACTTTTGCTGACCTCTGCATCTTGCATAGCTTTCTGACTTGGCGAAATAGTTCTTTTAATTAAGTCAGCCACAATTCCTTCGAACTGAGAACGAGTCAGCTTTATATTTAAGTGTTTTGGTCCAGAAGCATCCATAGTCAGGTAAGGCAAATTAATATCCTGTCTGCAAGTACAGTTATTTTGTAATTTGATTCAGCTATTATTGTACAACTTTCTAGAGTTACTCGTCAAATGAGAAAAGATAAAATAATTTAAAAATACTCATTAAAGTGGTTGTAAAAGGTTTTTTTTTACCTTAATGTATTCTCTACATTAAAAAGGGAAGAAACTTTTCAAATGCTGCTCTCCCAGCGCCCTCTAAAACACTTACCGGAGCCACAACTTGATCCAGCGCAGTACCCATCTGCAGCAGCTCTTCTCCCCATCACATCTCACAGAAACTCAGCAGCAGTGGGAACCATTGGCTCCTGCTGCTGAGTCAAAGCTTGTGAAGAAGTGGGGTTTGGGGCTGAGCTTTGTGTCAAGCAGCTTGCTATGTGGCACTTGGAGAAGAAGTGGAGCCAAAAGCACGGTGTTGTGTTGGTGGTTTTGCTCCAAACTCATGTCGACATCGTTCGAACTTGACAAACACTTTCAAATTTACAAAAACTACTTCAAAATGGTCTTGCACGCCTCAAAAGTAAAGCATACCTCTGCCAATTTCTTTGACTGACAGTCACACAATGACATCAATGGTGCGACTAATGACATCTTAAGGGGGAAAGTTATGCCACACATTGCTGACATATTAAATTAGAGTTTTAAATAAGGGCATAGATAAATGTATACATTTTATTGGGCCCCTCCAAAAATTAAAGGAACACTTTTTAATCAGAGTATAGCATCAAGTCAATTAAACTCCTGGGACACTAATCTGGTCAGTTAAGTAGCAGAGGGGGTTGTTAACCACTCAATACAGGGCACTTTTACCCCCTTCCTGCACAGGCCATTTTTCAGGTTTTAGCGCTCTCACACTTTGAATGACAATTGTGCGGTCATACAGCAGTGTACCCAAACATTTTATCATTTTCTTCACACAACTAGAGCTTTCTTTTGGTGGTACTTAATCACCACTGGGGTTTTTATTTTTTGCTAAATTAACAAAAAAAAAAAAAAGACTGAAAATTTTGAAGATAAAGACAAAAAACAAAAACAAACACGTTTTTCTGTGTTTGTTATAAAAGTTTGCAAATAAATAATTGTTCATAAATTTAGGCCAAGATGTATTCTGCTACATGTCTTTGGTGAAAATAACCAAAATTAGGATGTATTTTTTAGTTTGTAGAAAAGTTATAGAGTTCACAACCTATGGTATAGATCTGAATATTGATCAATCCTGAAGTACTGACAGGCAATTTAATTTCTTGAGGTCCAGGAATGTCAGAACAGTACAGATATCCCCCAAATTACCCCTTTTTGCAAAGTAGACAGTCCAAACTACTTCATAAGAGGCACAGTGAGTTTTTTGAAGTTGTATTTTTTGTCATAATTTTTCGGAAAATGAAAAAATTAAAAAAATTTGTTTCAGTATATTTTTTTTTTTTTTTACATACTGTCACCAATGCAGTACAGTGTCCTCATATAACTGGCATGGCTGTGATCAGGGACACTGACTGGTGACAGTGTGAAAAAAAAAATTTTTTTAAAATTATTTTTAATTTATTACATTTTAATTTTTTTAAGATTTTCTTTTCATATTTCACTATGACCAAAGTAGTACAATGTTACCATAATAACATTGTACTACTTTGGGGAAGTGATCAGTATTTTTTTTTTTTTTTTTTACACAATTTGCTTATAGCAAAGAATTACTTTGCTATAAGCAAGCATTTACCTGAATGACAGGGGGTTTTTTTTTGTGCTTAGCTGTGATTTGGCAACAGCTAATCACATGACACAGCTGGGCTGCGATTGCGCCAGCTTGTGCATGTGATCGCTGTGACCATTCACAGCTAGACACACTAGTATACAATGGATGGCATGAATGAAGCCATCCATTGTATACAACTGTCATGTGACCTGCTATAATTGGTCACAGCAGGTCACATGGTACCGGCAACAGGGCCGGTACTCAGATCTGTCATCGGCCGTGTCCAAGGTACATGGCCGGTGACAGATCGTGCCGCTGCGTGGCTCTGCAGGCGCGTAAACTGCGCATGCCCGAAAGGACGCCATATGGCGTCCACCCGGAAAGGGTGAGGTTTTTGCCAGCCGCCATTAGGCCATAGGCCGGGCAGGAAGTGGTTAATAAGTTTTCAGCGGTTTTACAGATGGAGGCCACTGGCATTTTTTTCCCCTACTCATCTTTTCTGACTGTTTTTCAGTCACTACTGGTAGCATGAGGAGATACCTGGACCTTACAGGGGTTGCATAGGCAATCCAACTCCTCCAGGATGGCACATCAACACGTGTCACTGCCAGGTTGGCTGTGTCTCCCAGCACAGTCTCAAGAGCATGGAGGGGATTATAGGAGACACAGTTACTCTAGGTGAACTAGACAGGGCTGTAGAAGGTCCTTAACCCATTAGCAGGACCGGTATTTGCTCCTTTGTGCAAAGAGGAACAGATGAGCACTGCCCGAGCCTTACAAAATTACCTCTAGCAGGCCACTGGTGTGAATATCTCTGACCTAAACAAATCAGAAACAGACTTCATGAGGGTGGCCTGAGATCCTCTAGTGCGCTCTGTGCTCACTACCCGGCACCACAGAACTTGACTGGCATTTGCCATTGAACACCAGAATTGGCAGGTCCTCCACTGGCGCCCTGTGTTTTTCACAGATGAGAGCAGGTTCACCTTGAGCACATGTGACCGACGTGAAAGAGTCTGGAGAAGCCATGGAGAATGTTATGCTGCCTGTAACATTGTTCAGCATGACCGTTTTGGTGGTGGGTCAGTGATTGTCTGGGGAGGCATATCCATAGAGGGACGGACAGAGCTCTACAGGCTAGACAATAGCATGCTGACTGCCATTAGGTATCGGTATGAAATCCCTGGACCCATTGTCAGACACTATGCTGGTGCACTAGGTGTTGGGTTCCTCCTGGTGCATGAAAATGCCCAGCCTCAGGTGAGTATGCAGGCTGCTCCTGGAGGATGAAGGAATTAATACCATTGAAGGCTGCCTGACCTGAATCCAATAGAGCACCTCTGGGATATCATGTTTCGGTCCATCCGATGCCACCAGGTTACACCTCAGACTGTCCAGGAGCTCACAGTACCCTGGTCCAGATCTGGGAGGAAATACCCAATGACACCATCCATCGTCTCATTAGGAGCATGCCCCAACGTTGTCAGGCATGCATACAAACATGTGGGGGCCATACAAATTACTGAGTACCATTTTGAGTTGCTGCAATGAAATTTCAGCAAAATGGACTAGCCTGCTGCATAATTTTTTCACTTTGAATGTCTTTGAATTCAGTCCTCTGTAGGTTGATAATTTCCATCAAATGATGGGACATCCTGACATTCCTAACACATAGTCCTTATCAGTATAGAAATCCACATGATATTTTTCGCCATTGAGATCTGATATACACACAGACACGGGGATGCTGCAGCTGTGACAGCTGATCTGTGTAGCTTATTTTATTGTTCAGTTACACAGATATGCAGCCATCCCACACCAGTGCACCAAGCTCAATTTGTTCCTGGCCACAGTGGTCAACATCTGTCAGTGCAGTGCACAAAAAAAAAAAAAATTTTAAATCGGTCAGCATACTAGTGCACAAAACAAAAAAACAAAAAATTTTAAGCACCCCTGTTCCCCTCTGTGTGCAAAGGCAAACACCACATTGGTCTCATACACACACGTCATACAGCAATCACACAATACATGTGAGGTACTGCCATGAACACAAGAGCAATATTTCTAGCACCACACCACCTCTGACTCTAAACTGGTAACCTGTAAAGGCACATAAAGTGGCACAAAAAATGAAAAAAACCCAGTGGTAATTAAATACTACCAAAAGACAGTTCAATTTGTGTGAAACAAAAAAAAAAAAAAAAAAAAAAGATAAAAATTTCATATTGGTACAGTGTTGCATGGCTGAGTAATTGTAATTCACAGTGGGAGAGCGCTGAAAGCTGAAAATTGGCTTGGGCAGGAAGGGGGTGAAAGTGCCCAGTATTGCGGTAGTTAAATAAAAGGTCAAATATTTGTGCCAGCTAGATTAAATTACCAATTCTAGGTGGAAAACCTCCTGTTTTGCTTGCTAAATTTTGGAAATACTGATGAACGTGGAACAGGATAGATATCAGAGAGAAATATATAGATAGAGGGATAGGGAAAAAAAAAAAAAAAAAAAAAAAAAAGCTACCTGTACAGAGGAAGATAATTCACATTTTGCCTTCTCAGCGGCTTCTCTCACTCTTTGTAAAGCCATGTTGTCTTTCATTAGGTCAACTCCAGTCTTAAAAGAAAAACAAAAAATTAAATATTTCAAAGAAATACATAAAAAAAAAAAAAACAGTTGAAACCTGTCTAACGAAATGCAATAAGTAGTTTAAAGATTAAGCACAATGCCACTTTTGCAGTCACATTTGAGAAAATCCCACTAGGTTTCACACAGCACAATTAGAAAAAAAAATTATTTCTTACCTTTCAGATGTTGCTCAGAACAAGGTGCAATAGCTGACTGCAAGTTTTTTTTTTGTTGTTTTTTTAACAAATGTTAGCATGAGCCTGTCCCAATTTGGTCCTTATTAATACAAGAGAACAGTTCCTACATTTTTAATCTGTGTTATGGTGGAGTTTCAAATATAGCTACAACTGATATTATAGATCTGCCTGCACAGTACAGACAGGTTTAATTATGACAAACACAGCTGCCCAGCCCCCTCACAAACAAAACAGAAAGTTATGCTATATAATGAAGGAGGTTATGCCAGTTTGGTTGCAAAAGTGGAAATGCATTTTAACAGTAGATAAAAATATATGCAACCACTTGTTTTATCCCAGCAGAATTCATAGTATTGCCATGAACAGCTGCCTCCAGGAGGACTTGACATACTGTAACAAAAAAAAACACAAAAAAAAAAAAAAAACTGTGTGTCAGCCCAGTTTGTACCAAGCAGTATCAAAAGCATGATCAAAAAATAAACAGAGGGGAGGGACCTGTGCTCCTCAATGAATTCCAAAAAAGATTCTACAGTGAGGGACACAGGAATAAAACTGTCTGGAAACTCAAAAGCAATGAGAGGTGGGCAATCGGAGACAAGCTAACAGTCCCAACGAAAAAACAGAACTGGGGATTCCCTGTAGCTCATTGCAACCTGCCAAAGCAGCACCTGACACTAATCACATGAGACCAAACATGCTCCGTCTGATAGGGGCACCTGCCAACACACCCAGAAGGGAGACATAAGGGATCAGCCTGATACCCAAGACTAAGCAGAAATCAGGGAGGAAAAAAAAAACAAAAAAAACCAACATGGCCAACAAAGAAAAGTCCCTGGTATAATAGGCTCCAGACAAAAGGACCTGGTCTTGAATGAGGGCCCCAACTGGGGATCAAGACCACGACCTCTATAAACTGATGAAATAACTAGACACTCACCAGTTACGCAAAATGTACCTCTGGGGTGAGATCCAAAAAGGAATCCCACTGAGAATTTACCCTACCTAGCCTTGAAAGCAAGAGGTTGGGATTGAGGTAAACTCGGAGGAGGTGGGAGAAGATTACTATGTGAGGAAGGTCCCTCAACTCTCTCCTCATTTGCAGGAGCCTCAGGTGTTAACTCCCTAAAGATGAGGATCAGATGGCAAACATGCTCTTCCAATGAGAACTATGCCTGTTTACACCAACTATAAGTGGCAGACAATTTTCAACACTGAATTTTGATGGTGCCACATTTGACCGAATCTTAAAGGCACTCTATTACTTCAGGTTGTGGCGATCCCAAATGTATTCATCCAATCTGGCAATTAAAAATAGGACTTTATATGCAAACACAATTTAGACAAGAATATGCAAGATTGCAGGTCATCACAGACCAGTCTCTAGAAAGGAAGAGGAGCTGCTCACCATAATAAAAGCCAATGTATATGGTTTATCGAGTAGTCGGTGCACAAAGAATGTCATCTGGTGCTTCCAAATCTGACTGCGCTTCACTCCCACATGGAGATTCCCAGAGTGAGGATTAGGCACAGGATAAGGTCGACCTTATAACTGGCATGCCTCTGTTGGAGCGATGATTTAAAAATTTAAAGAGTCTCACTAATGGAAAACAGTCAGGCCTCAGACACAGAACTTTTAACAGTGGATGAATACAATGTTGCGGAGCTCTCAAACATGTCAAAATTGACAAGGGACAACACGAATATTTGCTGCTATGTTGAGTTATAAATCAATAAGCCTATTGCTTATCTCATTCACAAATCTTTGTATCCAAGTCTAAACCTTTGCTCTCCATAGTAGTAAATACTCAGGAATTGCTTAGTAAATACCCAGGAGTAGGAAATCCAGAGTAATTTCCAGAGTCCAGGCAGCATGTGACTCACTAACTACCACAAAGCACTGCTGGGTACCTAAGGGACCACTTGTCAGAACCGAGTTATTACATTAACGAGAGTCTTCTAAATTAAAAATGGAGCAGCACTCTGCAGCAACGCCGATTACCGATCCTTAGGAAGCATCAAGAAATATTTAGACAGAATAAGGGTGAAGTACCTGGACCAATGGCATACACCCACGGGTCCTTAAAGTATTGAGCTTTATCATTTCAAAGCCATTGTTCCTAATTTTTAGGGACTCTTTAATGACTGACATAGTACTACTGGATCGGCGTAAGGCCATTGTGGTGCCTATATTTAAGAAGAGGTCAAATTCTTTACCAAGTAATTGTAGACTTACAGTTTAACTTCTATAGTTGGGAAGATACTGGAGAGTTTATTATAAGACCACAGAC